AAAAAGACCTTGCATTGGCCCACCAACAAGAAAAAGAAAAAAGGATCATACCATTTAAACCTGAATGACAAATGTTCAACAGCTTTGAAAGAGCTCTTATACGATTTTTTTCTCTTTATTGCTGCAGGTTGTACATTTCCTGATGTGACCGGGCGCGTCAATTCAACAATTGCCTTGACCTCCTCGGCCTGGCACGACACATCAAAGGTCACACGTGTTGTATTCAGTAGCGCCTAGCTGGCAGATTCTCGCCAAAGCTATTCAACGCCGTATTCCAGATCGTCAAAGCATGCTTATTTCTTGAGATAACACGATGAGTCTACCAAGCTCTTATTAGACTCGTGACCTTATTAGACTCGTGGCTTGAACTGCCACGAGGTCACGTTCGTCATTGTTCAGTCACACCCATCTGATGCAGTTCGGTGAGAGCTTTCGAATACCATTTTCCCACATGGCTCTGGGTTGCTTAGTTTCCAACTACATAGGGCCTCCGACTTCTGAGGCTCCCTAAGAAGGCGAAGGTGAAGCAAACTGCCGCGGGGAGAGGGTAACAGGCTCGGGCAACCAGAAGCAGCAGTGGGAAAAGCTAGCAAATATATCGGCACTATTCAACAATGAATGCGGCCAGCATTACCATGGCTACGCACCATCTCGGCACCAACAAAGGGAGAGCCACCACCAGAATCGGACAGGGCGGGGAGGCGACCGGAACAGGATCAAAGGAGGCCTGAAGCGGTTCCCTCCCCTGAGGGAGGGGGAGAACTGCTTCACCGCGTCACCTGGCGACGCCGCGTAATAGGGTGTACTGCCCGCAGCAGCAGCTGGCGGCCTGGCCGCGGACGGCCGGCCGTTGAGTGAGAGTAGATGAAATCGCAGATGAATGTGCGTTTATATAGCTATACAGATATATCAGTTGTGTTTGCCCATACACCTGTCTGCGACTTCGATAAGCTGCATGGCATATACATCGTCATTGTGATGTGTTTCAGCTACATTAAAAAAGCTGATGCTACCTTAGAACGTCCAGCCTTTGTTCAAAGTCCGTACATGCGCTTGGAAAACGGCCAGAGTGCGCGGGACCTCATGCAATACACTAACCATCAAGTGGGACAAACACAAAGGAACAAGGAGAAGGCCTGGCTTACCTGGAGTGCCGCGGCGGAGAGTGTGCGGCGCCGGGGCGGGCCAGACTGGACGGCGCCGCCCGCGCCGCGTGCTGCCACTGCCGCCCGCCGAGCGTGCTCCTCGCTCGACCAGTGGCGCCGGGGCCGGCCGCATTCGCGTGCTGACCTTGCAGACTGAGGACCGGCCAGGACCGCGCGACTCTGGGTGTGGTCGAAACCGACCGGTGCTGACACGCCGGCGCCAACGCAGGCCGGTCCAGGATCTCGCTAGGAAGCTGGCTGCGGCTGGCAACATTGGTAACGTAAGGCTGGCAACTACGGTTACGACAAAGACGTCAGCGTTTTGGTGGGGGACATCCGGGGTTGAGTGGAGGGGAGGAGAGGTGTCGAGCCTTTCCCCAGTCGCTGGTGGCACCTCACCAAGACACTGTGCCGGGTCACAGCCTTTTCCCGACGGCAGTGGACATTTGAAGTACCAGCGCGGGAGACGTCTCCATCTCCTCCGGGGTCAACGACGGCGTCCAGTGCTTGAGCTCCGTACTGGCCGGAACGCCTCCGTTTCCATGTCTGCCCTCCGCGCCGCCTTCCGGCGGTGCAACTAATACTGATCACAGTTTCTCTCGCACGCAAGCCGAGTTCAGCGCCGATTCGCCTCTACCGAGTCGGACGCGGCCACCGTCGCATCCAGCCATGCAGGGCGGTACGAAGGTCTCCGGCGGCTCGCTGAGACGTCCGGGCGTATTCGTGAGACTCCATTCCCTCTTTGTGACTAATCCAGCTCGACTGAGCGAACCGACAATGAGCCATGTACACGGTGCAACACCACGCTCGTGTCAACAGATATCAGTGGGGCGCCACTGGGCCCATGCGGCGCCCCTGGCTCGGCAGGACGTCCGTGCGACGAACCATCTTTGTGAAACGACTCCTCCATCGCAGCCACACAATCCGCCAGCGCCTCCACCTGTCGTCGTGCCTCCTCGCCCTCCGGCGGACGGCGCAGCGCCTCCTCCCGGTCGCGCTGCGCCAGCGCCAGCTCGTCAAGCCGCCGGCGCAGCGTCTCGCTCTCGCGCTGCGCTCGCTCCAGCTCGGCCTCGGGCACCCAGCCGCGCTCGGCCAGCAGGCCGCGGCGCAGCGCGTCCACCTCGGCGCGCAGCCGCTCGGCCTCGTCCTGCAGGCGGCGCACCTCCAGCTCGGTGTAGCGCGCGATCCGCTGGCTGGACGACTCGGGCCGGCGCGCGCGCTCGGCGGCCAGCTGGCGGCGAGCCGTCTCCAACGCCGCGGTCAGCGCGACCACCTGGTGCGGCGCTGCCGCGGGCGCGGCCGCCGCCCAGAGCCGCACAGACCGGGGGTCAGCAGCCGCCACCGCCGCCCGTAAATGGCGACGGACGCCGTCAACGCCGGCGGCGGAGTCGCTGTGACAGGGCGGCTCAACCACGGCTGCCACGGTCGGCTCGCGGTCGGAACGAAGCTCGTCGAAGTCGAAGATCTCGCTGGCGGAGGGCTCGAGCGGGTCGTGGTCAGAGAGGAGCTGGCGGTGTCGCACGGCGGGTGGCAGCAGCGACACGCGGCCACCGTCAGTCGGCGGAGGAGACGCCGACTCGCCGCAGATGTCCGGATGACCAGCACTGGCTAGCTTGTCATCCGTTGGGCCGAGGACTTTGTCCCATTCAGGAAGCGACTCTAATATCGGGAGAGCAGATATACAGGATGCCGACGGTTCATCCGAGGACTCAGAGATCGCTAGATCACAGGCAGTGGGTGTTGCTTCCTTCCGCTCACGGACCTGAGAAGCAACGCAAATGGAGAGGGCGTCTGAACTTTCCGCCAATGCAGGGTCTGGATGGGATGTGATAAACGTCGCCGCGGCCGCCGGGCATTCGGCCAGCGCCTGACCTGTCGCATCAACATTACGGTACGCCTGCACCAGTGCTGGCTCCGGTGTGATCTCACCCGGTTTCGAAGCCGCACCTCCCTGCAGTGGTCGGTCAGTAGGAAGCGACGGTGACAGGGGCTGGCTAACGGCACATGCACTCGCCAAAAGACCCTCTGCGTCGGCCGGCGGCCGCTCGGGAGCTGGCGGCGGGACGGCGAATAGCGAGAAGAGGCGGATCTCGGCGCCGGGCTCGGCCGGCTGCGGCTCGGACCGCCCCAGTCCGCCCGCCGCCTTCTCCGCGCCTGCTCTGACGGCATGATGCTGGACGGGCGGTCCGGCGGCGAGGGGCCGACTGCCCTCCGGCTGTAGGGCGGCGAGCTGCTCCTCCAGCCGCTGCACTACGGCCGCCGAGGCCCGCAGCTCGGCCAGCGTCGTCTCCGTCAGCGCCAGGGCGGCCGCACGCGCTCTCTCCGCGCCCTGGAGGCGTGCCTCCAGCCGGCCGACGTCGGCGGCAGCCGTCTCCGGTCGCCGCGGCGCCGCCGCCGCCTCAGCCGCCGCCCGGTCGAGCTCGGCCCGCGCCAGGCCGCGGCGCAGCTCAGCGTTCTCGGCCGCCAGCCGGGCACCGGCGTCGGCGGCGCGGCGCGCCCGCTGCTCGGCGTCGCCGGCGCGTCGGCGCGTCTCCTCGCACTCGATGATGACAACTGTGAGCTCGGTGTCGAGCCGCGTGGCCACCTCGTCCAGCTCGCCGGCGCGCACCTCGGCGGCGCACCGTTCCGCCTCCAGGCGCGCGATGAGCGCGCGCAGCTCGCCCGCCGACTGCTCGTCCGAACTGTCCGTCTCCCAGTCGGACGAGAGCTCGTCCAGCTCCGGGATCTTCTGCAGGGTGGTGTGGCGGTGGCTGTTTCGGTGCAGTACAGAGAGCGGCATCCGTCGACAAACTGTGGACGGCGGCGGCCTCGGCGCCGTCTCCTCCTCCTGCTGTCCGCCATCGTCGTCAGAGTCGCTGAGCACCTGTGCACGACGGTCGTCCGCCTCATCGTCCTCCAACTGCCCGGCTGACTGCGGCGCTTCAGCCAGGTAGTACTGGGTCGGATCATTTCCGATAGGCGACACCCCGTTCTGCACGCAGCCACGTCGGGCATCCTGCGAACCTGAGTCGACCTCGCCCTCCGTTTCACCCCAGGTGGAGCTGCTCGCCGCATCCGCCGCCGGGATCGAGCCTGGGCTTGGCGCTCCGGCTTCCGAGGCCTGGCCGACACCAGCCGCCTCTGGACCGAGCGGCCCGCTCACCGACGTCCCCGCGTCCCAGCCGGGGCTGGGTGCCGACGCCGCGGCGGTCGGTCGTGCAGCCCGCCCAGCGTCAGACGATGAGCTGACGCTCGGCGAGGATAGGGGACCGCCGTCTGCCGCCGCGGAGGTAACCTGTTCGCCGTGCGGCGACCGAGCGGCGGCGGGCGAGGCGGCCGTCTGAGCCGAGGCGAGCTCGCGGAGGAGCTCTGCGATCTTGGCGTCCCTCTCCTCCAGCTGCGCTCGGACCCTCTCGCCGTCGGCTCGCAGCGCGTCCAACTCCGCCCTGGCCCGCGCCAGCTCAGCGGCCCCTTTGGCCGCGCTTGCCGCCCACCGACTCCGGTCGGCCTTCAGCGCACCGAGCTCGGCCCGCGCCTCGGTCAGCCGCGCGCCTCCGCCGGCCGCGGCGCGCCCCGCCCTCGCCCGGTCCAGGTCGGCGCGCGCCTTCTCTAGCCGGGCGCCGACCTCGGCGGCTTCACGACCGCGCGCCGCGAGCGCCCGGTGCAGCGCCGCCGCCCAGCGGAGCGCCGCGTCCCGCTCGGCCGTGCGCCGCTGCAGGGTGGCTTCCAGGCGGCGCTCCGGCGGCCGCGGTGGCGCCGGGGGCCGAGGCACGCCCGGCGACCCGGTGGCTGGCGCCCGAGCCGGAGGGTGCTGGCTAGTACTCCTGGCTGGCGGTGGGCAATCGGCCGGCGCGAGGGCATCACGGGGTGCGTCCGCTGGCGGTTTCATTGGCTGGCGGCGCGCCGGTTCCTCCGCAGGCCGGCCAGGCACCGACTGAGACTGGGACTGGGACTGGGGCTGAGACAAACACTGGGACTGGGACAAGGACTGAGACTGGGACTGGGACTGGGACTGGGACTGGGACTGGGACTGGGACTGCTCCTCTAAGGATGCGTTCCGGCCCCATGGTGTCACCTTCGCCCGTTCACGGGAAGCGGCACCACATGCCCCCGGCGAGCATACGGACGCCTTCTCAGCCGCTCGCCGCCTCAAGCCAATGACCTCTTCCTCCAGCCCAAGCTTGGCCTTCATCTGCTGCTCCAGCTTCATCTTCAGCCGGTCCACAATCAGCCGCAGATCCTCCGAGTCGGGCGGCGACGACGCGTGCCCAGCCCGGGCCGAGGTAGGTTCGGAGGCTGTCGGCCCAAAAGGTGCGGGCAGCTGCTCTGATGACGGCGAGCCGGGGGCCTGAAAATGACGGGGCACATACTGAGACGACGCGGAAAGAATGAGTTGGCCGGCCATTACGGGGCAAACACCGCGATCAGTCCTAGTTCCGCGTAGACAATGCCATTCCGTTCGAGGACGTTTTCCTTAACTAACAGCTGACAACCACCACATTAGTTCGCTACTGATACTGACAGGGCAGCTAACGTCGAATGCTTTCAGGACGCTTTTTACGCTTGTAACTTACAGCAGGATCGTGACGAGCCTTCGGCCAACTACGATAACTATTGAGCAGTGTGTGCATAACCCCCTCTGCGGCATCGCAGTCCTACTAGTCTGCTTGTTTGCCTGTTTGTGCTGTTTCGCCTCGTTCACGGCATAAACATCCGCCGCCATGCTGTCAGCGCGAGCCTACGCCCAACTGTGCAGCATGCGCGGCCCATGGCAGCATGGCGTACAACAAACAGTCCACTGTGGCTCGCTGTCAAGTCGTCTCGTTCGCGGACCATTTGCGGCCTCCGTCTTAAAAACGAACACACCGCGCCTGTCTGCGGACCGGGCCGGCGAGCCTTACTGACCGCGGAGGTGAGCGGCCGCAGTTCGCCGCCCCCGGTCTGGCCTGGGTCGCCGCCGCCGCCGCCGCCACACCGCTCGTCCACATCCGGTCGCTGACGGCTGGAACACGGTCACGTCAGATCACCGCTACTCAACGGCCATCGGGGAAGGGGGCGGCATGTTAGCTGGTACGCTGGCGGCAGCCTCTTGCGTAATGGTCTTTTCAAGCATAGAAACGTGCGATATGTTGATCGCTTAACCTATGGGTATGCGAAATAAGGGTTCGCTCCATACTCCGTTCTAGTACGAGACCTGTTTCCCAGAGAGACATGTTAATGCGACCGGGAGGTCTTTCCCCCCCCCCTCGGATGACTACACGTGAATGCGTGAGCGAGGTCAGGACAACTTTACGCCGATATGACTATGCATCGAAGTCATTCCAGCGGCACTCCATTGGTATCTCCAAAACGGACGTACGTTTCTAACAATGTTTCGAATAGCCCGCACCTGTGGTATACGCAAACCCAAGTCTGTCCCGTTTGCACAGTTTCACGAGGCCCGCATTAACAGCCAGCACGGCGCAATACCAGCACCTGAATGCCACAGACGAGGTGGACTGACCTGGCTTCCAACTGACGTTTGCCCGGCGGGGACGCCTGTCGCCGACACGTCGCCGCGGGTCCGCCGCCCAGTGGCGGACTCCGCTTCCTCAGGGTCGCGCGGCCGGATCCCTCGTCTCGCAACCGCGGCGCCTCCTGGCCGGCCCCAGCCAACGGTCGGCTTTCACCGGCAGTGGCTGTCGCAGGTTCGCTGCTTGCCTGCCATTGGTTGACGGCCATGCTTCCGCTTTGAGGTGACCCACTCTGATCAGTGCTCATCAGATGTGTGCTTCCATTCGGAACAGTTTGATATGCGTCGTTCTCACTGTGTGTAATCACATCTGATTCTGTTTGTTTTTGCAATGCTGGGGCGCAGCTACCACTCGTTTTGTCCGTTTCGGACGGCTGAATCTTGTTTTGCGATGCTTTTAAAGACTCTAAACCCCTCTCAGCCGCAGACAATGGGTCGTATTCGTCTGAGCCTGCCCACATGAAATCTGCACTGTCCGACGTCACAACACCCTGCCCATTCTGGCCCCACGGGGCCACGCAGTGGACCGCTCGCGTTTAACGTCGGCACAGCCGAAACGTTTTCCTTCTGCGGTATTGTAACCGGACGATGTCCGTTCGATGTAGGTACATCCGGTGCTCGCGCGTGACGCGCTAGCGCGTCTGCGGAGTTTTCTTTCGATGCTGTCATGTCCGCCCCGTCGCCATTCTGTACGGCCGTGTCCACATCAGTGGCGTGCTCCGTGGCCGTACCCACACCAGTGTCGTTCAGTGGTTGAATGTCCGGCCCACTGGCGTTTGGTGAGACATAAGCCAGACTATTGGCGTTTTCTGCCGGCGCGGTCACGCAACATCCAATGGGAGGCTTCATGGAAACACCGTTGTTTTTCTCCGCAGTCCACAACTTTTCGTGTTCATGGTCCCGTTCTTCTAGATGTCCGTTTTGGATGTGGGCTGTCGAGACGGGCCTATACTCATCACACTGATGAAGGTAGATGTCTTTTCCAGGCTTCTTCTTGAGCTGGCAAGGGCTCCAGCGTTGAATTGTCACGTGTTTTCCGAACAAGTGCATACGGTTTATCGTGACTGTATTCGATCTTGAGACAGATGTTACCATCCCCCGATTTGAGGGCGGTATCTGCATAGCACTGCAACAAGAATGTAACGTATCATCAGTGATCTGTCTTTATAGCTGATATCCTGAGCTTGACCTTATCGATGACGAGCATTTATCAGAAAGCAGGTGGGCTTCTTTGGCCATTTTGTGCTAAAAAAACGTAACTGATCAGTGGCTTACCCAATAAACTTTACTGCCCTACTACCAAATGCAAATCCCATCACCACTTGATGTCACTAAATCATAATAAACAGAGGAAGGCGAGGAAATTATATGACACTTTCTATGCAAGAGACAAATCCTTAACGACAGTATTCAACATCTGCATGGGGGTTTGTACTGAAATAGCCCGCTTGAAAATCATTGAGTTCAGTACACAGCCCTACCTTTCTCGAGACCTGAATCCCTTCAGTTTCTGAACTGCACATATGTAAGGGTGTGTACACATGTTGATGACTTTTTCAATGCCACCATGTATCCATAATGCTATAAAAACATCATTCAAATCCTGCCATTCTGTCAAGCATGCAGGCACTAAGGCCAAGAACACATCATTATTGAATTGTTTAAATCTGGCATTTGTCAGCCAGCAGCTGTCCACTGGCCCTCTCAATCAATGGTGTGCAAGGTACCTTATCGATCAAAGACATATTGAGGAGGACAGTCACTAAATAGAGAATTTGTGTTGTCTAGAGCAGTCTTTTCAACTTAAAAGTATACCAATAGTTATCAGTGTGATTATTTCATCATATGTGATACTTGCTTTAATATTCTAAAACTTGGAACATTCCCTTTTATGGCACCTGTCTCTGACATAAGGCCAAATCACTAAGTAGCAATGATAGCAGGCACACACATCACAAGCATGCATTACAATCATACAATACTGGCAGTTGACAACTGACGTAACAACCAGGTCAAACACAGCCTAATTATTGTTTTCAAAGGGAATGGTAAGCAAGTATGAGCTCTAGGAAACCACATTCACAGCTTACCTGGAACTGAAGCCTTTGATCCATAGACTGTATTTTATGTAGTTTCTTCATGCTTCCAGGCTTTTTCCCTTTCCCTGGATAGTGCCCACTCCCCAAGGGCAGGCAGTAGCTGTCACATTGCCAGTCTCACCTGCAGCCCCAAATACAGTATGATATAACAGTTGGCAGTCGAATGCACAACTGGCTACTGCCACTGCCCTCCAACCTACCACTGATATGAACCTTAATCCCAAGTTGCATGTAACAACTTTCCAAAAAAAGATCTCCTTACAGAGGTTGGCCTCCTTAAAAAATGCACTCTTGAATGGGAGGTACCACTGGTACACCCTTAAAACTCATACAGAATGCTGTTTTGGTTTGCAGCTGTTTTGGTTTGCAGCAGGTTTGGTTTGCAGCTGTTGCAAAATGTTTTTTATTGTCCTTTTAATGCCACACAGAATGTTTCTAGCTGCATCATCATGCCTGTGGAATGTGAACAGTCCACAATATCATCTTAATACTGAAATATTACCTGACACCTGTTCCTCAGTATGAACATAAGCCTAGAGTATGGGGAAAAAACTAGCAGAATCCTGTACACATGGAATGCTAGAGAACCTGGACCCACTCCTGGGATCCATGTGCATGCCTGCCTGGTTAATAAGATTCAAGTTCACAGATTGATTCTTAGAAAATGTGTCACAATAGAGCTAATAAATTTTTTGGTGGCTTTGGTGAGTGGCCACATGATGAGTGTGCAAAATAATTGCATAATTGCATGACTTTGTCCCTACTTAGCTGTGGACTTTTGTGAAGGGTTCTGTAATGTTTAAGCTCTAGGCACCAGTGGAACTGAACTTATTCCTGATACATTTAATGTCAAAGGTATTGTATTTACTCATACTTTCACAGACCTAAATTTTGTACACATGATCAAAGGAAGAATTTATGGGCATAAATATAACTACTAAGTATGTAAATATATTACTATAAAACCTCAAAAACAACAACCTTCACACAAACAATGAGCCAAAGAATAACATTTCTGTTGCAGTATTCCACCTAGTATAACAGATATGGTTACTGAACATGGGTAATATGGGTATACTGAACATGGGTAACATGGGTATATTGTACAGGATAAGTGCCTTGACTCCGGTTTAATATTTGATAAATAATCCAAAACATTTTGCTTACAATGCTTGCCAAAAGCTTAATCATCGGAGAGTAACATACAGCATTAAGAAAACACATTACCAGAGTTCATTCTTGCATGTAGTTTTCAGCAACGCTGAGAACTGATCATAGAATCACCTTTCTGACCTTGAAAAGCTGACGCATTCTTTTCGCTCTCTACTGATTTGTGGAATGGTCGTTTTCGATAACAGCATCAACTAAGAATAAGCCCAGTTTCGGACTCCCATTTAATTGTGACCCACCGCACCCCCTACTCAACAAAGGTATTTTTAACGCCTATCGACTGAAAGCAACCACCAACCCTCCAGCTCATCGCCACCATAGCGTCATATTTGTAGATAACCTACATCCATGGGGTTCAAAACCCTTTGGAAAGGTTTAAGTGATAGCATATGATCAAGGGGTAGCCGATTTAGATATAAAATTTGTGCTTCTAGTTATCTCACACGATTTATGCACAGCATATCCTTAAATATTTCATTGAAAGACTTCTATTTCATACTTCTTGGAAACATGTAAAATGACGCAACGATGACAAAAGCGGGGTGAAGGAAGGTCTTGTAAAAAAAGCCTTGTATGTTGCCCTGATCGATTACTTTAGTAGTAGAAAATTGGCACGTTGGCAAGGAGGAGGAGGTAAGTAATTTATATTTTAGGGGTTTTTGCTGCATGCCTTGACCGCCGATGGTAACTGCGTGCCACATGAAATATACACCTTCCCATCCTCCTGTCAGTTTCGTAGCTGTGAAGTGGTAGAAGAAGGGCTTGGTTAGCTATTTGCATTAAAAACGGCGTTCCCAATTATATTTTTGGCATCGAAGCTCAGATCAAGTCCAATTCCAGTTCAGATAAGAATTATAATTGTACAAATAAACTTGTTTATATGCCTAGTAGCAACTGTATGTTACCCTGGTTGATTAGGTAAGTAGCAGAATGGCGCATCATGGGCAAGGAGAGGATGAGTGATCTTATATTTTAGTACTGTTTTGGCTGCATGTCCAGGGTGTTGAGGTAACTGTGTGGCATAGTAAGTGTAAAACCTTCCTATCCCCTTATTACTTTCATAGCTGTTTATAGTGATAGAAGTAAAATGTGTTTAGTTATTTGCCTTAGAAGCAGTATGTTCAGTTATATGTTTTTGGCATCAGCATCCAGGTCGAATTCTAGTTCAACAACAGATCATAATTTATAAATGAAGGTATGTCTTTGACAAAAATATGGATTAAAGTGTAAATTATATTTTTAATGTTAATAATAATTCTAGTCTAGCACCAGCAATACTGTGATGGATCTAAAAGTGCAGTGACATTCAAGTTCAGTTGTTTCAATCTGATTTAGAGACAAAATCTAGGCTCAACTCTCAATGGGCTAAACTAACATGCAACATTTCATAATGAAACTGGATGACACATCAAATAGAGCTTGAAGAAGTATATTTGCCTTTCATTCTCAACTACTGTAAGATTAGCTAAGGTAATGTTTAAAAAGCTATGTGAATGTTGTTGGAGCCAGAAAAGTTCCATGCGAAGGAATGATTATTTTTTGCCCCATTTTGTGTCTAACAAGCCATGGGCCATGAGGGGGGGGGGGGGGGCAGCCAAAAACATTCAATAATACATTATCAATACTATTGCATAAATAGCAGTTGTTAGTTTTAATGCAGCAATTGTTTAAAAGCAGATTGTTTTCTCATTGGCCTAACCCAAGAACTCATGATTTTTCCCAAATATACCTGTAAAATAGCATAATGAGTATGTGGAAAGTAAACTTAGATACAAACCTTTTAGTAAATGTGCAAGTCATGTTACCAGACTGGTAGTGACTGGTACAGGCTGGCACTCAGAACTTGGTACTACTGCACCTTTTATTTATTTATTCCAGTTATTCCTCCTTTCTTTTCACAGGTCAAAATATGAATAGCATTGGTGAGGAGTGCCAAGAGGTAAAGAAGCAATATGATAATTGTTTCAATGCATGGTTTTCAGAGAAGTTCTTGAAGGGCCATTTAGAAGAAGATCCAAAGTGCCTAGAGCTGTTTGAACAGTACTCTGAATGTGCTAAAAAAGCTATAGCTGACAAAGGTATCAACATTGAGGACATCCAGAAGGACATTCTTGGAACAGATCAAGAACAAAAAACACCCGGAACAAACAGCTAATGTGATACAGTATAATATCATAATACATGTTTTTCAAGTGTTTTAATCATGAGCCTTTGTTGGAGAACAGTGTGATCCATTTGTGCCAGTGTCACCCATGCATCTGTGCTTACAGTGAGCTTGATTCCTGTTGCAAGGACCACAAGTTTTCATATTCATTACTGAATGAAATATATGTTTTGCTGTCCGCCACATGTGAGTTTTATGAATTTTCCATACTCACATCGACCCAGCTACAATATCCGAATACTTTCCCCATCCCCTGATGAGCTCGGACTAACTTCGCCATTCCAAGGCCTTTTGACCGTGTTGTACGCATATCTTTGAGTTTTTCAGCACCCTCCTAGTTACAGGTAGATGCGAAACACGGTGTTCATGTCTTAGGATATGTGGTGAGTGTCTCCCCTGCATGCTGAGATCTTCGGGCCAGGTGAAGTTTCCTATTCAGTGTGGGGAGGGGGGGGGGGGGATATAGGGAGAGGGCGTCCAACTTGGGCTCCCCTAATTCTGAAAAGAAAATGGGGACGCAATCCGGAAAGAAAATCCGTTGTTGACATATCTTGAGCGTAGGACTCGTCATTGTTCGCTGCACAGGTCACCACCAGGGGCGCACTTTCTCAACATATGTTGAGAAAGTACGCCCCTGTCTACAGGCTCCTTAAAGTGTGTTGAACCTTCCATAATAATGTGCATCGTGACGCTGCAGCGGCGTCGGGGAAGGCTAGGGACTGTCGTGGTATTCTAGTGCCCGTGGCGGCCATTGAACTCACCGCCGTGACCGGGCGCGACGACTGCGACCTCCGCCTAGTTGAAGAGTACATATTTGTGACGGGGCTCGCTGCCGTGGGGACGGTTGGCAAACCCGAGAGAAAAGAGCAGAGATTTGACAGTCCGGGCGTTTGAAGACTTCCTCGATGAATTGCTGGCGCAGCGACTGGGTTCCGGAAAATATCAGGTTGCCTCTGATATTACCATGAAACTCTATGACTGTTCAGAGAAGGCCGGGTTGTGCGTGGGCGCTGAGTCTTTAGGTTGGTTGAGGGTTGAAGGATCCGCTCCGGCATATCTCCGCTCAGTCGACTTACGTTCGGAAGACACAACGCTGTTGATACCTATGCTCGGGAGCCTACGATCGGAAGACGTGCTCCTGGAGGACCTACGCCTTAGGACCGTGCCGTGATTGATGATTGACCTACTGGCGTTGTCCGTGTTGTCGAGTCAGGATATTCAAGCAGCAAGGGGCAGCGGCACACGAGGAGTGGCCGGAGCGGGGTAGGCCTGCCTAGGTGGGGATAAACTAAAAAAAACTAAAACTAGCCGGGCACCAGGCCGACGTGGCAACTTGGTAACTTGACGGTGTGTGATGACAGGCTCCATCGGATTGGGTGAATATGTCCTGACCCTGCCCACTTCTGGTCATTGTTTGGCACCTTCCGCTGGGCGGCAGCAAGGCGCTGACCAGAACTTAAACAGAGGGGAATAAGAGGGGCGAGTGGTGCCGGTGTGATGATAGTTATGAATTGTTCATGGCCAGGGGTGGTGCGACCAGTGGGGCAAGAAGGCAAAAGTCCCCTCGCCATTTTAGAAGGGACACGCATACCTGTATGCCTGTATGCCCTTGATGCCCATATATGTACGCCCCGTGACATTTTCAGCAGGCCCCATTTTCCATCGTGCCGACAGGAGGTCTTGATGACCGATACAGAGCATTCCGTCAGATCGAAATGAGGGCTATTAAGCCTATACAAGAGATGGTCTGAAATTTAATCGGAATCCGAGGCAAATTTTTAGATGAAGGATGGGATTGGACACCACTAGATCCGTTTGTCTCTGGAGAAAAGTCGGTGGCGCCGCCGACTGCCAACTGCCAATGAATGCCAACCCGGAGATCCTCACTATTCAAACAAGGAGCAGTGGTATGTCTTAGCGCAAGTACTCAAGCGATAGGTCTTCCGAGATCCTCACTATTCAAACAAGAAACAGTGGTAAGTCGTAGCGTAAGTATTCAAGCGATAGGTCTTCCGAGATCCTCACTATTCAAACAAGAAACAGTAGTAAGTCTTAGCGTAAGTATTCGAGCGATAGGTCTTCCGAGCGTAGTTCCTCCAGGATTAGCTATAACGAGTGCTTATCTCCCGGCAGTAGGTCCAGCGGCAGTAGGTCCTCCGAGCGTAGGCCTTTCGAGCTCAGGTAGTTCATGGAGGTCCTAAGTGGAGCATGCGTTCCGGAATGATTCCTTGGCATCGCCAGGGAGCTGGGATAGTGCAGCGGCCCCAGGATGACCAGTAGCCCGGACAACGTGACGCTGACGTTCGGAAATGGAATACTCACAATAGAGCAGAGTACCGGTACACTCTGGCTTCGAGCCTGGTGCGGGGCATTGCCATAGACAGATGAACTGAAGCTTGTCGCTTCATTGGCTAGATGTCGCCGCCACAGCTTTTATGCCAAGCCGGCCATTCAGATGTAAGCGAGAGAGTCGTTCTCCAGGTGCGTACTGTATCAGGCAAGCATGAGTTTCCGTTCGATCGAGCTTGCTGATGTTCTCAGGATGCGTTGTGTGCCGAAAATGCGCATCACTCTCATCCAGTGAACTTGCCGGAGATCTTGCACAAGCTCGCCTCCTAAACAATGTGCAATGGGGCCGTTAGATAGGCCGTTAGACGAATGATGTTCACATGAACAATTCAATATTTTCGCGCGGATATTGCCAATCTAAGGTAGCTCGCACTGCTAATTTAACGGGTCAAATATAACGCTCAGTAGCACATATGTGTGCTATCGATACAGGCGTACCTATCTATGCCAGCAACTGTTACAGGTATGCTGTGATAGAGGTGCTGCCCATGCTTGATCACCCTGCGGTTTGCCAGCGATTTGCAATGGGGTCATTGCAATCGTTGCGATGCAAAAATGGATGAATGTGGGTTGGCTGCCACAACTACCACCATTGCAGCAAGGGGTTGCAGTTGCCCCAGCGGTATTAGGTACGTAGGTATACGCCGCCCATCTGTCCTATCTGTTTCCATTGTGCGTTCGTATTATTATCCCATCCAGGAGAACGGATGTGAAGACTGAGTCTGTGCGAGATTGCGGTCGATTGACTGGCCCGAAGGAATCTCACCACTTGGGTCGAGGCTGTCTGAATTCGCCCAGCGGTTGTTCTTCGCACCCCATTGGCGAAACTGGGACGCTAGAAGCTCTCGGGATGCACGCGTGTGTTTAAACACACCACTCTGACAACTATTTGCCATTGTAGGTGTGGACGAATCGTCCGAGACTTACATCTATGTATAGATATCACATATGCTCGAACTTATGGTCTCTTCGGACAAATCTATATTCGGCCTAAATTTAGCAGGCCTGCTTGCCATGGTATTTCGTAACGGATAAATAATAGATTAATACGCGATCACAAACCTTAGAAATGTCGACACTTTATTGGTTCCGCCTGCCTGCCCACACTTGCCCAGCTCTATGACCTCAACGTACAATGACACCACATCACGACCAGTCTGTGCAGCACGACACAACTGTGCGAACCACGAAAATATTTCCTCTTCTGCAGCGGCGCTTATAAAGCACGGAATTACCTCGTAGTCGGTATTCCCTGTGGCCGCGAGACAAGCGGCCGAAAGACCCACATGCCGCAACACGCCACATCCGGTTCAACGGTCACGCAGCCGCGGCAGCAGGCCGCCGCGCGCCGGTGACACGACCACGCGACCTCACCAGTTGATCATGTCGGAGACGTTGTCCAGGTGGCCGTTGTGCACCTCGGGCGTCACCTGGATGAGCGCGACGAGCATGGCATACACGTCGACGGCGTTCACCTGCTGGACGGTGACCCCGGCGCGGAAACTGGGGCCGCGACCGAGCAGCACGCCGCGCATGTCCGGCACGCCGCCGGCCGTGTCGTCGTATCCGCCTGCCGCTTCCACGGCCAGTGGCCGCTCGTGCTCCAGGTAGTAGCCTGGCTCGGCCACCAGGAGGAGGTCGGGCTCGCGCTGCCCGTGCGCCAGCCGCATGCGCGCGGGAATGGCGCCGCGCAGGTACGCGCGCACGCCCGGCACGGCCTGCGCCTGCGCGTGTGCAGCCGTCGCGTGCTCCCCGGCCATGTAGACGAGGCAGGCGGCACCGTCGCCGGCGACGGTGACGGGAGCTTCGGACGGCAGCAGGCTGTCCACCGAGATCACCTTCATGTCAGCCGTGTCCGTCAGGCCGCCGTCCGACACGATGACGACGTTGACCTCTCCGCGGGCCTGGCGGTCCAGCAGCGCGCGCGGTCGAGCGTCTGCAGCTGGCCGTCGAGTGCGCGCAGCGCATCCAGCACGGCCTCGGACGTAGCGCCGTGCTTCTCGGCGGTCCGCCGCAGCTCGTCCGTGTGCACGATGGCCATATTGCACGGGTAGGCCTCGGCGAACAGGCGGTCCAGCGCCAGCGTCAGACTCTCCTCGAACTCGCCGGCCTGCCCCGGCGCCTGACAAAAGCTGATATTGCTGCCATCAATGGGCACACAGGCGCCTTGGACGTTGAACACAGCTGTGCGACGCCACTGCTTGACGGCCGAGGTCCAGAGGGGCACGACGCCGTCCCACCATGCCGGGTCGGTGGCCGAGTGGCCGGCCGGGCCGTCCCCTCGCAGCTCGCCGCGTTGCCGGTCGAGGAAGTGCTCGCCCAGGATGCCGTGTTTCTCCGGGTAGCGGCCGGTGAAGAAGGATGCCCGCGTGGCGATGCCCTCGGACGGGAAGGTCGGGTTGAGCCACTCGGAGCGTGCGCCATACCGCACGAAGTGTGTGAAGAAGGGCAGCTGCGCCGGGGGCACCAAGCTCAGGTAGTCGTGGCGCAGACCGCCCACCGACAGCACGAGTAGCTTGGGCGGCTGCCTGCCGACCTGGAACCACACGAACCAGGCCATGGACACGAGCACGTACGAGAGGATGACGAGCACCATGTTGCGGCCGCGCCGCGCCAGCCAGTCGTTGGCCGGCGCCGGCTCCTGACGCGCCCGGCTCGGCCGCCGGCCCCGGCTCCGCC